GATGATATAAAAAAGTTCTGCATAAAAACACTTCGAAGTTCAAACATACTTTTATAGTGATCTTACATGCCATTGCCTTTGGGTGTACATTATTTTTCTTATTTTTTGTAACGTTCTAAACAATAATAAGGCACGCCTATTGCGTTTATATCACTTCATATTTTGTTTTTAAATTACCTACCATTCAAAATTTTAAAATCAGTGTATTCCACGGACGTGGTTTCTGGTAAACAGAATAAAGAAATGGATTCCATTGATCCCATTTCGTTCATGTAAACCTACAGATACATTATACATGCTTTTCTCACCTCTCTGCTCAGTTCATAAAAGTGATCTTGTGGTGCACAGTGTACGCGTATCAAAGTATTGGGTAAAAGTGTGTTCAGATCGTCCCCCTTGTGCGGGCACTGGCAGTGATGAATACGTCAACATAAATGTGTGAACTGTGTACGAGCACAATGCACTGCACCGAGTGGCTCAGATACACATATCATGTACATCTTTAAGAACTTTATCTTTCTTATTAAATTCGCATTTTGAATAGAATATTACAAAAACTTAGTACTAAAAATTAATGAAAATATTAAAGAGTACAAATTAATATTATTACACCCAATTACAGAACAAGTAATCGTGCTTACCACAAGTCTATTTGACCTGGCTGCGAATCAAACCCACGATCTCTGACTCAGCAATCAGGACCACTAACCACAACAGACGAAATATATGAACAGACATAGTGTAGTTTAGAGTGTTTAAAGGCAATGACGGATTTATTTATAGAATAGAAGAAATCAGATAAACGAATGTTTTATCCTAAAATGATGTCGTTACATTTTATTGCTTGTTGTAGATTACAATAGTTTTTATTAAATCATTTCAAGATTAAATACTTCGTTTTCTAATATCAGCTAGCATTGAATACAGAAATACAACTATGATATCTACTAGGGTCCTGGTGTACTGAAGCGGAGCTATCAGTTGTAAACAGGGTACCGCGAGGTTAACAGTTTATGCGTGAACTACTCGGGTAATCTTATGTTACATTGTCCCTTTGAATATGTAACAACCATTTATAGTCTTAGCCATATCAAACAATGTTAAAAGAAAAAAATACTTTCAATTCGAATTTACCAAAGAAAAGTATAATTAATACTTATCCGTTGTCTTACTATCTTAGGCTGGTTTGCAAAGGAACATTAATGGACTTCTGACACTGACACCTAGTTTTAAATAGTTTAGAATAGTGGCGAAAACATTATTACAGCTGTGCAAAAACATAAATTATTTATTCAGAGTAGCCCTTAGTATATTATATATATAGTATAGTGTATAGTGGGTAGAATACAGAGTCAACTTTAGAAATAAAATGTATATCATAAAAGAAGTTTGTAGATATTTCTGTCACTTATTAACGTCCAAAACGTAGACGGAAAACTTCTGCAACAAATCTTAAATTTCTTTGAATAAAATATAAATCTTGGTTCAGTGACTACAAACAAAAAAGAACAAGTTAAACTTGAAATACGCTTTAAAATTCAAGTTAGAGGAAATCGCAGATAGATTCTTAGTTGAAAATGGAAAGAAGTAACCGCCTGTACTGCAGTTATGTTGTTATATTTACTTAAATACAGCAAATAATATTTATATTTTCTTCCAATTAAATTCAGCAAATAAATACACAAAACAAATGAACTTCTCTCTCTTTTTATCAAAAATAAAATTAAACAAAAATGAAATGATATCGTTACGTATTAGATAATTACGAAAAAGGCTGTTAAATAAACGATAAGAAAAAAGAAACCATATTTTAGATATCAATTTGATCAGATACTGCTGTCCGTGTGGTGACGGATTAAGAATACAAATTGTCACCACCTCAATTCATCCCGTGGGTGTCGTAAGAGCCGACTAAGGGAGCAAACTAAGCAGGACAACAGCACTGCAAAGAGAAGGCAAACTTGAAACAAACCCTATACCAACCCGTCTGGCCAGCGTGATATAGTAGGCCAAAACCTCATTTCTAAGGAGAGGCCTATGTCCAGCAGTGGACTAGTATAGACTGTTGATGATGTTGATGATGACTGCTATCAAAGTTTTCACAATATCATAAACTAATGCCCGTTAAATAGAATATTAAATTTAAATGAATAAAGATGTTACGAGTATTATGGAAATGCCAGATTCACTCGTCTTCATTAAAAATCACTCGATTTGCAAACTAGTGATGTACTCTTAAAATTGGTGATTTATTTTAACGGATAAAAAAAGGCGGAGGAATTCATTTTCTTAAATACCTGGCCTAGTACTAATATGATCTGATGGTAAGACCAGACCACTATTAAAATTAAGAATTGTCCAGGTACGTACATCCGCAGTCTGCTTTTACACTTTTTATTAGATTTTTAGAACTGTTCACAGAATAAAACAATCAATGTTCAGTAATTTATAGCCAGTAGTATACTAACGAATGTCACGGGTAGATAGTGTCATTAAGTAGGTCCATTAAATCGTCGGAGGAAAATCGTGAGAATATCACAATATGATCAAATGCTGTTTGTAAATTTGTCAAAATTAAGGGGGAAAACCCCTTCCCTTTCTGACACACAAAATCCTGGTGAATAATACCAGCTAGGTATAGCCAACAAGTCTGTCAATTTGATCTTGTTATATGATTATTACCGCACAACTGTTATAACAGGAATAAAAGTAGGTAATTGGACTGTCAAGACCAGATACTTAGGTCTACAGTCCCTTGAAGACGTGAAAAAATCAAATTTCTAAGTTAACAAAAAGATATTTTAAAACTAGCAAGGGAATTCAAATTTGTAGGGTACTTCCTGTTGACCTAAAGCTATGAAATTTGTCAAGTAACAAACGTCTTAAACTACAAGTACAGGGGAACATTTGTAAACTATACATTTGTAATAAAATCGTCAATAATATAGTTTTTATTTAAAGTACATAATCAATCATCAGCTACAATTTCACTTATAAGGCACAATAATATAAATAATTATAATATTTACCTATGAATTTGTTCACAAGCTTCGGTGAACGAGTCCGGATTTTTTGTGTTATTTTCACCGAGATATAAATGTTGATTGTGGTAGTATATGTGAAGTTCTACAAACTGGTTTTTGACCATGGTAGAGCTAGGCTGTGGCATAACTGTTACGAAAGGTAGATCGAGCTCGAGTGATACCACGGATGTTAAGCAATTTTTTTGTTGCTTTACAGCGAGTGAGTGTAGTTACTAGAGACGATACGTCCTCTCCCCCTAACTCTAAGGAGAGGAAATCAAAGGACGGCTACGTATTTGTGACTCTTTGAGTTGAAGTGTCCAGGGGCGGCGGTAGTCACTTACCATCAGGTGATCCGTCTGTTCGTTTGTGGGGGGGGGGGGGTTATAAGGGAGAATAAGGGGTTATACTATGTAAAAAAAACGAGGTCGTCAAAGTAGGTAAACAGAAGTCGATATAAAAGAAAATTTTGAAATAATAACAAAAAAAACTATCAAGTTAATTAAGTAAGTTGGCGGTAGAGGTTAACATTTTTAAATCGTTGGAATAAAATTTGCAATTCATCTAAAGTCACCCAGTTCAAGCTACCGTACTTCCTTTATTCCTTTTTTCTTATTTTATACCACTTTTTCTCTTTCATTCTTTATTTAATAGACTCCACTAGTGGGTGACACACAGCTTTACTTAAAAGTGTTTCTCGATTTCTACGTATTGGGTTAAAACCCATAACTAATTGCAATCAAAGAGTGTCAAGATGTTGATTTAGAGTGTCTTGGATAACACAGACAAATTGAACGCAAGACGGTAATGAAGATACATAAATACGAGCATATCTGTAGGTCGTCAGATCCGTGCACTAGATATTTAGATAATTTATGTAATTAAGATGTATCGCAGATCGCAGCTGCAATCCGAATCGTGTTTTGTGACTAACGAGGACTCTGATTGAATTTAGATATTAATACGGCCAAGATGGGTGTATCAGATTGAAATACGGCTTTGAATTATGATCTTATGTGTTGCTGAGACCGATTCTATAAACTTGCACCAATAAACATTATTAGCTTCATTTGATATATTTATGGCAGCACTGCCATGTTAAATAATTATTCTGTATACAAAACAGCCGCCTTCTGGCTTTAGAAAGTGTCAATCAGTTAATTATATACTTTCAACCATCGAGTAAAACTATTGCATTGAAACTGTTTGAGACTTTCTGTGGGCGCCGGTACAGTTAACTGTTGTTGGCCCAACTTGCATCAAAGGTCTATCTTTGGTAACAGTAATACTGTGCCATTGCTACCTTCCCATCATCTCGTAAAAGAAAAGAGTATTATGTTGTTGATAAATAAAGATTACGCCGCGACGTTTGAGTCAAGTAACAAGAGAAATGTGGTATCATTCAACAAGGTGGCCTGGGCTACCTATTAAAACGTGGTTTTTAAAGTGCGCTATGGCGCTCCAATTCATAATTGTATTTAATAGTAAGTATTTAATTTTAAAAAATAATCTAAACATTTAAAATTAAGGGTTTTTGTATATAATCTATTTAACCGTATATCTTTTAAAATCTATATATCTTTTAATATTTTTTTATAGATAACTAATTTTTAACCTTCATTTTGGCCCACTTTACCACGCTGACCAGACGGGTTGACAGACGGACAGACAGACAAACATGTTTATACAAAATTCCACGCAGACGAAGTCGTGGGTATCAGCTAGTTCAAAATAAAATTGAATCTAAAAATATTGCATGTCATACGGTCATTATTTATTGAAGGGTAGATCCCTATTTTTTGTACAGATAAAACTACTAAAACTTCATCCAACTAGTCATTAACAACTACGTTCAACTTACACGAGCGAGTTGTCGTTAGAATCAGTAATGGAACAACTGCTCTAGTATACATTAGTGAAGTAGTAAACAAGTAATGAGTAGCGACCGCATAGAGAGGACAGTACAAATACGTAAACATGCTGTAAGTATTTGAAACCAGTCAACCTGTGGCTATGTTGAGATAAAACTGAAATATTTGGTTACGGTTATTGTTTTCTTGGTCTCTATAGAAATACCTACAACATTTAAGAGTATTATAAATAAACTTAGATTATTTTTATAAAGAAGCTAAAACATAAAGTTATATTGACAGGTATCTTCACTAGGTCGGGTCTACCCTTTCCGGTCTCAGAGAAGACCTTGCCAAGCTAATGTACGCTAGACTCATGACTGTACACGAATGTACTTAAACTGTTTGGTACATCCTAGAATTACCACTTCATGATATGTTCAACTATGTCGTCATGTTTCATGATAAAACCAGCTAAAACTGAATATTAATATTTACGATTCCATACGATTTATTTATTCCACGGTTGGCCATATTATTAATCCTTGCGATATTGCCTTAGGATTATTCCTGTAAGAATATTGTTAATGTATCTAAATAAATTTAATGATATAGTGATGTAGGTGATGATCTGACGAACGCCGGCTCCTCGCGACTGGCCTCTACTGCGGGTTAATCTAAAGTTACGTTATTCGTGTAACTGCAGCGAATTCTTATTTGGGTGATTTTCTAGTCCTAGCGTCCGATACGATAATTTATTATCACATTTTCTTTACAGTTACCGTTATTCGGATCTAGAAACACCTTTACAACTTGAGTGTACTGTGTCTGGTGCTCTAAGTTTCGTCCTGCACATGTCACGCATAGCTGCCATAGCTCCAATCAAGTTTGAGAAAGTGCGCGGTGGTTGGCGCATTAGCTTGTCACGTTTTTACTACGCGTACACTATTTTGTTCGTAATTCTTTCACGTAAGTATTCATGTAGCTTTGATCTTTATAATTTACAAATTACCAAGTGTGTCTAATTTCTGGTTTCTTTAATAACAATAAACTTGTGACAGGTTATGTTTTTATTGTGATAATTACATATTTCAGAAGTACATCAAGTTTACAATCAGATTGACTGCATTCTAAACATTTCGTAAATAGCAAAATTTATAAAAGATAAATGATTTTAATTTTTATGATTTCTGACTCGTTTCAGTGTAATACACACAGTGTTCACACAAAACATTTATCCTTTATAAATATTCTCAAACTTTTTCTCCTGACGGTATACTCCCTTAACACACTTATACTTTCAATGATCAATGAGATCAACATATAATGTAGTAACAGTAAGTGAATACACATTATGTTTATTTCGTTAATATTGTTTTTTATTACAGATATTATTACAGGTTTCAACACCTTTGATCGTAGAGAAGAATTAGTAGATGGATATGAATCTTCGTCCAACAAACAGTCCATGCCTGTTTTGATTGCAGTTCTTTATACTATGGGAATTGTAGTAGGAATACCGATAGCTGTCACTGGTGACAAGAGGCTACGCTATATAATCAACTGTCTGTTTTATGTAGAACAAGTAACTAACTTGTTTTCTTTGTACATGTATCTTTTTACTACAAGGGTTTTTGCTAAAACAGAAAATCACAGTCTACAAAAAAATTTTGGCATGTTGCTAATTTCAACACTCTGGCTTTTCTCTCCACATCATTTAGAATTGAGTGTTTTTACTATCGGATATGGTTATGTTAATTTTATTACCTAAACTTTTAGTCACAATTACTACCACTACCACAAAATAACAAACCTGTAAAAGAGAGAGCTTCGATCGCTTGGTCCAATGATTTGCTTGCACTTTCTGCAGTTTAACTGAATCCCACAAGTTTCCCATAGTTCCCATTGTTCCCATAAGTTCAGTTTAAAATTTGCTTTATTTAATAGAAAAATTAGTAAGTATTATGTTGCTGTTAATTTACTTGCACAGTAAATTAATATTAACACAATATTGTAAGCTTATACTTCATGTAGGATATTACTATTTTCAGCTAAATAAGAAACTTGATTATCTTAATGCAAAGTCATCCTCGTATACTGAGACTAAAACGTGGTTTAAAGTATTTTTCTTATTTATGCATGGATACGTTGGGTCATTCCTGGACTATGGGATTTACCTGTATGACGTTATAGCTGCAAATAATAATGGTTAGTATTTTCTAGATAATACCTCTCCTGAATTTGTCACCCTACATGTCTGTCCTACGTGTCTGTCTGCGCATTTCGTTAATTTAGGTGTACGAGTATTTAATATTTGTTTCTAGTAGTTTGATCTAATCCCGTCAATTTGTAATATTGACTTTCAATCAAAGTAAAGTTTAGTTATTTTTCAGTGCCGTGGTCAGCGATATGTAATGCCTCCGCATTTTTATACATACTCCATTTGCAGTTGCTATCGATACAGGTAAACCTGGTCATCACGTGTTTGGTATCGACTCAAGACCGACTGAATAGTTGTTTGGAGAACCTACTTGAAAAGCTAACAAATGGTTGTAGTGAGTTCAAATAAATACATAATATATAAAACCGACTCCACGCCTACATTTATTGCTACTTAAGTCTGAGTAAGTGAAATAACTTCACAGTTGATCAATAAACTGAATTGTAGATTTTATGTATTTGTGTATGTATGTATCTATTACATATTACTTATTTATTAACTTGTATTTATATAAGTAGGTATTGCTAGGACTGACTGCTGTAAATAATTAACACTACTTTATTTTATAACTGTCAAAGGAATGGTTGTCATCCCAAGGTTGCCTCTAAGAGATTGCTTTTTAGCGATAAGGCCACCATTTGTACATGGTCAATAACTTGAAATACTATTGTATGTATAATATCCTGAATTGGTGTACAATAAAGATTATTATATTCTATTCTATTAAAGTGGTCTCTGTGAACAGGAATCCTAAGACTAAAGACGCTAGGCCATAAGGAATTCTTACCTCACATCTCTAGGTTATTTGAACTGTTGAACAATTGTTTTTATACAGTCCGACCCTTCACTCACTCACACACTTGGCGAGGTAACGACGCGGCGACGACTCAGTAGGAATAACAAAAAAACAGAATTTAGAAAAGATGTAATTATGATACACTACTTTGCAGCATCTGTACCAGTAATTGAAAGCAGTAGCTCTACAAATGAAAATAAAGACAAAGAAATCCGAATAAATATACGAAACGCAATATCGTACAACTTTAGTAAAGTCTTTTCACCGTGAGCCATAAGAGGTGAGTATTAGTGAGCCTTAAAATTATAGATTATTACTTTATTTTATGAATAATGGTAGATTATTGATTTAATCACTACACACCACACAATGCTATTACATTTTATTATAAAACACGTAATCACAAAATAAAACTTAAAATTAAACACAGGCATATCTTTGAAAAGGAGGTTGCCTCCTACACCACACTGGCAAGATGGCTTGGTATAGAATTTCTTTCCAGTTTTCTTTTTATTTGCAGTGATGTTTGGCCTACGTAGTTTGCTCCCTTAGTCGGCTCTTACGACACCCACGGGATGAATAGGGGTAGAGACACTCCGTATTCTTAATCCGTCACCACACGGACGGTTATTGAATTAAATGTTTCAGGATCCAGAACAAATCCCAACCTGTTACGTAAATTGATAAACATATATTGTACTCTGTGCCACATGATAAAATTGTTGAATGAAGGCAACGGGGTCGCACTTATTATGATGCTGCTGTATTCTACCTCATATATGGTCACTGGCCCTTACTTCGTGGTCACTGTAATATGTATGTGCTTTCATTATACAAATCAAAGACTACAAAGACTACAAAGTACTACACTCAAAGACAGTAATTGTTTGTTTTTCCAGATCGAACTAAATCTGAGCTGCCTGTCTTCAAAATAGTTTCTATAGTTGGGTGGTGCATTCTTTGTTTCTCTATGCTGTTAACGGTTACAGAGCCATGCCAACAAACTCACCTACAAGTATGAATTTAAATTGAAGTCTGAACTAAACATAAAATAACATAATATAAAAATATTCTAAAAGTGTTTATGTACCCGAACTTCTAGGCCGCTGCACTGTTTCTAATGGTTTTTTTTTGTTTGTGAATTAAATTGTAATAATGTAATTTCAATTTTAAAATAAAAAAAAATAGCAATGGGACTCTGGATGCTTGAGATTTATGATCAAGCGCCCTGGTAGGTAGGGTAAAAACTGATTCTAGAAAATAAATCTAAATTTTTATTTTTTGATCAGTTTGATAGCTATTTTTGGTTCTAGCAAGGAACTCTTACATTTTGTACATGTCTGTCGGCCTGTCTCTCTGCCCGCGCTCGTGAACGCTAAACTTAAAGATGTAGTGTTACTTAGTGTTATAAATATAATATAGTTTAAAATCTTCATATAAATTTTATAGAATCAAGTCAAGTAGGCTGTAGTTAAATAGGTATTTTAAATTTGGATGGTCATTCTTAACAAAGAACGTTCTTAAAAGAGTGCAAAAAATAATAATAATTCAATAAATACATTTTTGTCGCGATTACTGTAAAAAAGTTGGAAGTACTCTGACGAAATTGAGTTGTTAAGGATAATTTATGACGTTACTACTATTACGAACTATTGCTGCTAGAAGACATTATTTGAATCAATAAATTTTCCTTCTTTAATACTGTTTTCTAAAATAGATACAATGTGCTTCCAGAAGTTTATAAAATAATGTACGATGAAGGGTTTTCCTTTACGTTTGACATCAGAAAGTTTACATTTCGTTGAGTGCAGTATACTCGTAGTATGGTTTGTGTATGTATTTACACAAACTAAACTCGTATTTTCCAGCAACTAACTAAACTTGTTTATGTTGAATGTTGTTGTCAAAGAAAGTTCTCAAAAACCAAAATTCTTAGTCAAAAAGTTGAAACACTCATTATTTAACTAATTGCAGCATACAAACATAGCTGCTTTGACTACACGGACGGCGTAGTGGTTTAACCGGTCGTCACACCGCTTCCTACTATTACGAATGTTATGGGTTCAAACCCCACATGGAACGACATTTTGTGTGTTCCACAAATTGTTGTTCTGAGTCTTGGTGTTCTTTGTGTCCGTTTTATGTACATTTGTAAAGTCCCCGCGACACAGGACATATTCCTAATGCGGGAGTTGTCTACAAGAAGAAAGAATTACGGCTGCGACTATTTGCTTTCTTTTAAATAAAATAAATAATAGCAGATAAGTTTGGATTGTATCGCCAAAAAAATGTTACGTTGCTAATTATGTAATCTTTGTCTAGTTGGAGAAGACCAAGCACTTAGTCAAGCAGCTAATGCGCTACACTCCAAGAGATGATTCAGTGTTTTATCACGAACTAAAGATGTTTCAATATCATATCTCACTCAATCCGGTCAGCTTTTACTCGATGCACCTGTTGAAGTTTGACAGAAAGCTTTCGATAGCGGTGAGTATAATGGAAATGGAATTAAGACCTAGGAGAAGCAACCATAATGAAATTAGAGTTATTATAACTGCCCTATTATAAATTACAAATGTGAGTGAGTGAGTTTGTTTGTTGGTTTGTAAGCTTTCACGTCTAAACCACTAAACCACTTATACCTATATTATTATCGAGTAACATAGGCTACTTTTTACCGCGATAGTCGACATATACGCGGGCAAAACCACGGGCAAAAGCTAGTACCTAATAGAAAAACTACACTAACTATAACTTTGAAAATGAACCTATAACATATGTATTAAATGTTTAAATTGCAGGTCTTGTCCTTGGTCATGACGTACCTGTCCGTTGTTATCAGTTTATAATAAGTACAAGTTTGGAACTCAACATTTCTACACTAAAGAAACACTGCTCTGTGTATCACTGTCTTTGCTCCTGATTAATATTAGACTGTCAAAATAATTAAGGTTTAAGACTACTTAGCAGTTTGTAACAGACCATTTTTTCGCTTTATTACCTTCATTAATACAGCTGTAAGTATATAAAATATTTGCATACATTAAAGAGTTTTATTAAACTATGATTTGTCGTTTCTATTTAAGTTGTTACTTTACCTTTAGCCATAAAACTCAAAAGTCACGGATGTCTCCTTCGTGGCCTTTCTGCGTATAGAAAGGTCCAATATGCTGGCCAGCGGACATCGCATCCGGTAATGTCTTAAATGAAAATAGTAATTGAAGAAGACCTGTTCCCTCAGTGTTTAAACATCAGTTAAGGGCGAAACGATTTTTTTAAACATAGATGTTGTACCAGGCGTGGTATAATTTGATCCATTAATTTCTTAAATTCATTTTAAACCTTAGTAAATAGTTTTAAGTGGACTCGTGAATAACTTAATAAACATTTTACGATATCTATTATTATATTTTATACAACATTCAGGTAAATATTAATACATCTCACTGCGTCTGACGCCTCACACAAAAAATTCACATTTACTGAAAACTGCTTTTTGTTCTTATGAAGACTGACTAAAAGTAATTATTTTTAGAAACATCTCGACCACGGTGTATACACTTGCCACTACATGTTACTTAATGATAAATGATATTTATTTTGTAAGTAAATCTTTTCAGATATTTTTACAAGTCGGAAGTTTTGTAAGTCTTACTTGTAGTTAACATATAGGCTCATTTATCTTCTGTACAAGACAATGTGTGCCATTAAAAACAATCACGTGTTTTGGCAAGGTTGGGCCATAAAGTGAGCGACACGCCCCAACGCCAGCCAAACGGTTATGGTTTTCTTTTAGACACAACTATTGTGCGCTTTGGCAGCGACACAACTCGCTGAATGTATTAAGACATTGAAATTGGTAAAATGTAGCTCGTAAACTATTTGCTACATGTGTAATGTTCTGTTTATATATATATAAACAAAACGGAATTTGCTACTAAAGCTTTGTTTGTCAAGTGACTTATGTTTGACACGCTGGAGAAAATGCTCACATGCTGAATGAAATTTGATCTTGTGTGTATTTGGAGTATTTTAATAATAAACCTTCTGATAAATAGTTCAGAGAATTATTTGTTCAGAGCAAGACTTTAAAATCTTTCTCAATTTAAGTACCTGACTAAAAAAGTCCGTAACATAAATATTCTATGTCAGTTTAGCTTTCATAGTACAAGCCCTGCTTAGTTTGAAACTAAATGGCGTTGTGTGTCAGATGTCCGAAAATATTATTATCATTATTATTCTCCATTATAAATTATATTTTTTCAATATAGTTACGATTCATACAAAAAGAAAAGCAAAATACATTTAAAAATATGAAAATTGTGTCCCATCGGTATCGGGTACAAGCACCAAAATACCGTTGGTTAGGACTCCAAAGAGAGAAACCTCACATTACGAGCCGTATCGAAAAGCACTACTTTCTGCATCAGGCCCTTAGTCCAGCTGGCGCGAGCCTCTTTAGATGTTGGTCGAGGCTCCTAGCTATTAATCCATGGGCTGATATGACTATCGGTACAATTATGTTATTAGGTAGTATTATTTATACTAATAAAAACGACGTAAGATAGAAATTCAAAAAATTCATATTCTAAGTTACATCATCAACAGCCTTTAACAGTCCACTGCTGGACATAAGCCACTCCTTAGAAAGGAGGTTTTGGCCTACTATACCACGAGTTAGTACAGGGTTTATTTCAAGTTTTCCTTCTCTCTGCAGTGCTGTTGTTCTGTTGTTGTTGTTGTTACGACACCCACGGGATGAATAGAAGTTTTGACACTCTGTATTCTTAATCCGTCACCACACGGACCCGGACCGGACAGATATTCTAAGCTACAGCTTTAATGTTAAAAGATTGTTTTATATAACTTTACAAATTTAATGTTTCACGGAGCATTTTATTGATTATTCGTTTATTCGTAGACATTTATCCATCGTAAATTACAGCGAGGGGTGGCGAGCGCTTAATGTACCAAGTCTTAAGGTGATTTACAGGCTGATATTGGCTCGAATCTCTTCACGATCGGATGCTGTATCTGTGCTGTATCTATGTCTGTATTGGTCTCAGTGCACAGCGCTGGCTCACGAAACAGGCAGGCTTCCAAACGCTATCGACTTATCGGGGTTAGTCCGTGATATAGTAATGAGTTTTAGATGAGCCCGAATTGTTTGTTGTTTGCTTCACAACTTGGAGGTGTTTTAGTTTCAGGAGAGCAGTGCACTTTAATATATGCCTGGCAGTTATGGCAACTTAGGCCATATATTTTAATATTTTGCGGCTAAATAAAGCTATAAGGTTTCTATTATCCTAGAAATGTGATGAGAATCACGGAATTATCGAACGAGCAATAGTAAGAATTCTGTAAACTTATATTTTGCGCTTTGAAAATTGAATATCAGGAATATCACTGCATATATTTTTGTCGCTCTTCTTTGGATACGGTACAGAGAGAGAAGCTGGTACTGTGGTGCCCCTGCATAGAAATGAGAACAGTTTTCTGAACAGTAACTGGAGTGAAATACCGCCTCGTGCAGCACACCGAGCTTCTTCGAGGCCATTTTGACCTTACCCTCTAAATGACCGCGAAACCTGACTTCACTCGATATCTCGATGCCTAGGATTGCAATACTGGCTGAGGCAGTTAGGGAGGTGCTCTCTCAGGCGATACGACAATCGGTATCTATTTTGTGGTGAATGCGCAAACCTGTGTCTTTTTGTGTACAACATAATAATATTCGAGTGCAAGCAACCATAACAAGTCATCCGTTGAAAGACTTATCTCTCTATCAACCATAAACCAATGGCTGCCAAAATGTTCAGAATGAATTACTTTAGAGCTCTCGCCGCCACTAAAGCCTCAGACGATAGTTCAAGCTTTCAACGTTGTGACAAATGACCTGCGACGGCCATCAATTCAACGCCAATGACTTGCAAAAAGTCTTCACTTAAAAATAAAAGTACCTAGTCGCTAGCCAAATGATTTTCGTCTCGATACGAATGAACGAATGAAAGAACAAAAAGTAAAATGATGATGCTTTATTTAAACAATACTCTTAGAATATTTAAGGAATGTACCTAATTTCAATGACGTATTATACTATTGCTTTGTTTATATATCATTGCCTAATATTTTGTATGCCTTTCGGCGGGACATAGCTTGTACATAATAAAATTGACATCTTAACCACCTATGTATCACAAAATTGAATAAATAAATGAAAATGAAAAATGAACAAAAGTTACCGAGGTTCTGGTGGTGAACTGTAAATAAATATTTTCTGGAGTATATTAATTGAGCAATAATAAGAAATTAAAAAAACACTTTTAATCCTGCGTTACACCATAAATGTGTCGATATCTTATAGCTACTCGTATTTACTAATATATTTTTTCTGCCATTATGATAATTAAGAGGTTAAGGACCTTTGTGTTATATATTTCCATTTCTTTATCTTTCTTTCTTGCGTAAATTTAAATTTCAATACAATTATTGGTAACCTATATTTTATTTTATTTGATTGCCCGAAGTGACTTGGCTCAAATTATGTGTAGGCTTGGCAACTTTCGTCTGGTATATACGTGTAAGTGTCTGCGAATACATATATGTATGTAGTAAAATTCAGTAATTTGTTTCTTCACACTATGAATGTTTGGTAATTTTAGAGTATGATAACAGTAAATGTGATAATCTATACAGAAACAAAATCTCCATGAGATATTCACGAACCTTATAACCCTTTCTACTTGAGAAGTTCCAATCTAAATCTGTTTTATCCTCTGTATGAACAGATAGTGGGTCGTTGACTCGGAAGTACAGATCCCTGAACCAACCACTCGTAGTACAAGTAACAAGCACAGTCTCTTGTTATCAGCAGTTATAAATCTGCGGGGCTCAGCTACCAGAATTCGCTGCCACATACAGTGACGTCACGGTAAACTTTCAGTCTGCCACGCTAAGCCCCTTTCTCGTAGTTTGGTTCAATGACTAACACTACGCGCTAGCTGGTTGGTTTTAACTTTAGTTATAGATGATAGTGTGTCATTTTAGTCCTAGTCCTTTAATTCCATATAATATAGAATTCAATTTAAAGAAGAGTATAGTAAGCAAAAAGAAAATTTATTAGAACTGTAGGCTTATTTGTTATAAACAAATAAATATAGGTAAAGGAGATGTCGTAAAACCAGGTAAATATCGAATCGGCACTTGGTTGAATGTTAATTTTGGATGCCTGTATTTAAGAGAAATTCTAAAGTTATTAAATATTTTAATTGGGGCATACAAAATTATGGTATAAAATGTTTTTATATTGCAATTATTGCCAATATGTTATTAAAACTCGATGTCATTCGACGGAACGCTACGCTTGTAGAGTCGAATCAAATTGTTTTTTTTTACTGTTTATAGCCAAAGGCTATGCTAACGTTAATGTCAATTTCGTCAATTAATTTTTGGTCAGAAAACTAGCGAAACATTAAATACCTCATAGCAACGATGTCTAGAGTTCTGAGACTAACTGGTATCCTCAATCACAATATTAAAAGTTGCTAAGAAGAAATAAAAAGACGCTGTGCCATGACACGACCGGCAAATCTCCCGATGATATGAAAAGATTGCCACAAATCACACACTATCAATGAGATCCCTAATATTCAAACAAAAAAAATTGATGCTCTACGTTAAGGCGCTGAAAATAGAACGAACAGGAAGGAAAGTTGATTGTACGATAAATGTACTGTGTAATATTTGTTTTGAATTCTCAAACATTTATAGCAGAAAATTGTCAAACAAAACATGGTACAAAGTCCAAAGGGTTACAATCACTTACCCGACGTGTTCCCTGTCCGGTTGG